AGGCGTAGTGGTAGGGGTAGTGGTAGGGGTAGTGGTAGGGGTAGTGGTAGGGGTAGTGGTAGGAGTAGTGGTGTGGGTAGAATTAGTAGAAGTGTGGTACATGCCGATCTAATGTGACGCGGTGACCTGTACGACCTGGCCTGACCGAAGGTGACCTGGCCTGACCCAGTGTGACCACGGTCTGCTTCCAGACGGCTCATCGGTATGAATCAGACACCATTCGAAAGCGAACTGGCTGCTGCGTATTTTATGGCTACGCCGCGAAGCAAGTGGCGCAGCCGCTTGTCTACTATACTATTTGTGAAATGAAACTCTGTCTGTCTGTGTTTCTGTTTGCACCATACAGAGGGGTGCTTTGACGCCGTGCGCAGGTCAAACGGTGCGGTCGATGGGGCTGAAATTTTCGCAGCGTGTTGATGACGTCACGCGCACGTGCAGTGGCGTGTTTCGAGTCTCGAGGGGTGGATGGTTCGCACGTGGCACGCGCTGGAAAAAGGTGCCTTTTCTCCAAATTTTGCTCGGCTCTCAAGCTTGCTTCAAGGCATCGGCAGCCGGGTTCAATCGCCTTTGACAATAAAATGCATGACGATCGGCGGCGGGTGCCTCTCATTTGCAGATTGTCCAAGTTACTTATTTTGATAAACAGAGGCGAATGGTGGTGTTGATTATCGGTAAACAAAGACAGGTTTCAATACGATCACACAAATGCACCGCGTTTGCCGTAATGCGCCACATTTGTCCACATGCGCTATTTTTGTCGCTGATCGCACAACTTTGTCAAATATGGTCCGATAAGGGTGCAGTTTCTTGGAAGGATGCATGACAAAATGACAGGTACAAATGCGCCACTTTTGTCGCAATGCGCCACATTTGTCACAAGGCGCCATTTCCACCAAATACGATTAAGAATAATGGAATGACACGAGTAGGAGCAGGGTTAGGAACTCTTTTTTAGTTTATTAGTTTATCTGATAGTCTGTGACCTCATATGACCCAGTCATAGTGGTAGGGGTAGTGTTAGGAGTAGTAGTAGGGGTAGTGGTAAGGGTAGTGGTAGGGGTAGTAGTAGGGGTAGTAGTAGGGGTAGTGGTAGGGGTAGTAGTAGGGGTACGGGTAGTGGTAGGGGTAGGGGTAGGGGTAGTGGTAGTGGTAGTGGTAGGGGTAGTAGTAGGGGTAGGGGCAGGGGTAGGGGTAGGGGTAGTGGTAGTGGTAGGGGTAGTGGTAGGGTAGTGGTAGGGGTAGTGGTAGGTAGTGGCATGGGTAGAATTAGTAGAAGTGTGGCCCAGGCCGATCCAATGTGACTTGGTGACCTATACGACCTGGCCTGACCGAAGGTGACCTGGCCGGAGCCAGTGTAACCAGGGATGACAAACTTGACCTGACTTGACCCTGTATGACCCAAATTTCATCCAACTAAGCCCTCAGAATACTTATTATGTTCAAAATTTTCCTCTGCACGTTTCCGTCCATATCTCTGCTTCCAGACGACACATCAATTTAACTCAAACACCATTCGAAAGCAAATTGGCTGCTGCCGCATTTTCTGGCTACGCCGCGAAGCAAGTGGCGCAGCCGCTTGTCTACTATACTATTTGTAGAATGAAACTCTGTATGTATGTGTTTCTGTCTGTTTGCACCGTGCAGAGGTGTGCTTTGACGCCGTGCGCAGGTCAAACGGTGCGGTCGAGGGGGCTGAAATTTTCGCAGGGTGTTGATGACGTCATGGGCACGTGCAGTGTCGAGATGCGAGTCCCGGGGGGTGGATGGTTCGCACGTGGCACGCGCTGGAAAAAGGTGCTTTTCCTCGGAATTTTGCTCATTCTTCAAGGCATCGGCAGCCGGGTTCAATCGCCTTTGACAATAAAATGCATGACGATCGGCGGCGGGTGCCTCTCATTTGCAGATTGGCCAAGTTATTTATTTTGGTAAACAGAGGCGAATGAAGGTGTTGATTTCGGTAAATAAAGACAGTTTTCAATGCGCTTTCACAAATGCACCGCGTTTGCCGTAATGCGCCACATTTGTCCAAAGCGCCTTTTTTGTCGCAAATTGCACAGCTTTGTCAAATATTGTCCGATATAAAGGTGCAATTCGGTGGAAGAATGCATGGCAAAAGGACAATTACAAATGCACCACTTTTGTCGCAATGCGCCACATTTGTCACAAGGCGCTATTTCCATCAAATACGACTAAGAATAATGGAATGACACGATAGGAGCAAGGTTAGGAACTCTTTTTTTAGTTTATCAGTTTATCTTATAGACTGTGACTTCACATGACCCAGTGGTAGTGGTGGTAGTAGTGGTAGGAGTAGCGGTAGGGGTAGTGGTAGCAGTAGGGGTAGTGGTAGGGGTAGTAGTAGGGGTAGTGATAGGGGTAGTGGTAGGGGTAGTAGTAGGGTAGTGGTAGGGGTAGTAGTGGTAGGGGTAGAAGTAGGGGTAGTGGTAGGGGTAGTAGTAGGGTAAGGGTATTGGTAGTGGTAGGGGTAGAAGTAGGGGTAGTGGTAGGGGTAGTGGTAGGGGTAGTGGTAGGGGTAGTGGTAGAGGTAGTGGTAGGGGTAGTGGTAGGAGTAGTGTGGTAGGGGTAGTGATAGGGGTAGGGGTAGTGGTAGGGGTAGTGGTAGTAATAGTGGTATGGGTAGAAGTAGTAGAAGTGTGGTACAGGCCGATCCAATGTGACGTGGTGACCTATACGACCTGGCCTCACCGAAGGTGACCTGGCCTGACCCAGTGTGACCAGGGATGACCATCTTGACCTGACTTGACCCCGTATGACCCAAATTTCATCCAACTAAGCCCTCACAATAGTTATTATGTTCAAAATTTTCCTCTACACGTTTCCGTCCATATCTCTGCTTCCAGACGACAGACCGATTTAAATCAAACACCATTCGAAAGCAAATTGGCTGCTGCCGCATTTTATGGCTACGCCGCGAAGCAAGTGGCGCAGCCGCTTGTCTATATTACTATTTGAGGAGGGCGTAGTTTCTGTCTATTACGAAGGTCGCGACATGGTGCTACGTAGCGCGGGTTACAGATCACACCGTTGCACCTACCGCGCTGAAATTTGCGCTACTCATAGAACAAGGATGGACAACGTGCCTTTGAGCGGTCTCGGCTCGATCGGATCGATAGCGAGCGCGTGGCGCGTGCCCAAAAAGTGCAAATTCGCGTCATAGACTTTACATGTATAAATCGGCTGGCAAAAACGGGCGAAAACAGCCAAATTTGCCCGACACGAGTCCGGTCCCGGTGCAATATCTCGGTAACCGTGGGCCCGACCGGTACGGGGAAAACAGCATCGTGTAGAGAATCGAACGGGCTATCGAATGGTGTGCGGTGCAGGGGTTGGCACGCGCCACGTGCACCGGGGAGGACACTTTCTTTTGAAAAATTGACGTTTTGGACGGATTTTGGAATTTATATTAATTTCAGGTGATCGTCAGACGGAATGAGTTGAAACAACACCTATTAGCAATAAAAATGTACCGTCTCTCATGGAAAAATTGTGAAAAGCTAATTGATCAAAAACAATGTGGAAAAAATCGCTGAATTAAATGGTATTTGTCCAAAATGTGCCACTAAATAATTACACGGATTTTGCTGCTTAACCTGATACGTTTGACAATTGAAAATGCTATCATTGGAAAGAGCATTCAATTCTCTCCAAGATCCAATCATCACGTTTGCATGACAAGCAACAGTATCCTTAAAAATATAAATGTTTCAAACCTCTGCAAAACGATTTTTAGTGAAAATTATCTACGCCTTTAATTTGTCATAAAACTACGCGCATAAATTATAAGCCACATTTGACAGATTCTGAAGTGGAAAGCATGCTTATCAGACACGGGCACCTCGATACGGTGGATATTTTTTCCACAAACCGTTTAGCCATCAAAAAGCAATCGACCGAATTGGATAGGTAACCCAACCGACACAAGAACAACCAAACACCCGTCAATCGAAAATACCCCTTTTCGCGTTGCGGAGCACGCGGGCCACCCTAGTGTTCTACTATGTAGCGAGAATCTTTTTCCGTCATTATTTCTCAACATCTATTGTTTTGTATTGGCCGACCAGTGGGCCAGCACCATTTGTGCCGCTTCTTCTGAAAGGGATTTCCTAAAATAAAGTGCCCCGAAACGCTGTTTTACGTCTCGAACACTTAAGACCCGGTTACACTAACGAAGATAAATGGCAAAAGCTTTCCAGAAAACATCGAACAAGTCTCAGAGGCAAAACAAATAAGGTCCGCCTTGTTTTACATTGCAATCGTTCAGCTGGCCTGTGGCCTGTGAGAGCAAGCAGATAACATCCTTCCTGTTATCTGACCTCCCAGACAAATTCGTAAGCGCTGTTTCATTGTTGAAACGGTTGTGTGTTACATATAATAATAGACTAGCAACAATGAGGTCTAGAGTACCCACAAAAAACAAGTGTTGACTAACACTGCATGCTATATACGCGTTGTATTTTTTATTATTAATACCTAATACTGTTCGAGCTCGAGTGAGACATCTTGGATAGATTACTATTACCTTTAACTTTTACCATCACTGTTATAGCAAAACCTTCTAACTTCTTAGGGACTCTTAGTTTCTTGTATGCACAAAATAGGAATCCGCGGCACTCCTTGGCACGGATGCTGCACTTCGCAGGCATAAACCTTGAAGAAAGAGCTGATTTTATTAAACGATTTTCCAGAACATAATTATTGCTATCTGGAATTTTCAAAGAACTATTTGAACCGTCTGATAGGCTATGCTGCTTCCCAAGTTCTCACCGTTTTCTTTCATACCAGTCGTGTGTCAGAAAAAGGCCCTAATTTACAATTTCACCCACAGCTGCGTAATCACTAAAATTATAACTGTATTTCAATAAAAAACACATTGATACGACTCAGTAAATTTACCAAGGTTTTCATGCTCTTGACAATTCAACATCACTCTTATCTCCCATTCATTCTAAAACAATACGATGAAACTGAAAACAATTAGCTGTGATTTAATACATCTATTAACCAGGCATTGTAGCTATTTGAACGACTAGAGTTGATTTTGTTTCCACTGATCAGGTACAAACATCAGACATATCTTCATTCAACACCACACAACCATCTCTTACACAACACGCACAACCAACACTGGGAATGGTTCGAGCGAAGCGAAGCCCCCACTCGCCGCTCGCTTTCGGCAGCGTCCGAACAACCGGCTACCGACACTCACATCCGAAAACGGCACACAATACCCAAACACAGCGCGTCGACGCGAGTCGTCGACGGCGACGGTTCGCGCGCGACGTGACGGTCGGACCGTGTCCTCTCACTAATGGGGACGACCGGTGCACCGGGCCAACACACATACACACAGTCGACGGGCCCCGGAGGCCGTACGGCTCCGACGGCAACACGACACTGCGCGGCACGTGACCGGGCGGGGAGGGGGGGGGGCTGACGGCAACGGGAGGGGCAATCGTACTGGTCATAGCAGTGCATTAGATAAACCGGGCGATTGGGATCGCTACAAAACACAAATAAGATATCGTCGTCGTATTGCAAAAAAACCTTAAATAACATGCAGAAAAATACGGATCAAAGTTTCAAAATGTCAGCATTAACACAAAATAGAGATGGCAGTATGAAATAACCCTTATAACGCACTCAAGATGCATTCACCCATAAAATCAAGACCGCACAAGCCGAACCACACACATCGTTTACACACATCCCGTCGTTTACGTCACCACATAGTGCGTGCGGCCGCCGCCGATTCATTCCAGCCCATAATCCAGCACTTCTGCCATAGTTCACTGCGAGATCGGCCGTCCAGAGAGCGCGATCCTTTCCACCCTGACCGCTGACGGGTCATCTGGGCGACATGTGAGCGGCGTCTCTCACCAGACAGACTCCCGAGTACCGCTATCTCCGGTGGCAGCCGCCGACCGCGCACCCACAGCACTGGGGTCGAGTCTGTTCGTCCGCCATTTGTTCCCGGGGGTGCTGCCGGGCGCGGTTAGTCGGTGAGTGGTGGCGCGGTTAGCTGGGAGTGGAGTGACGGCTCGCATGACGGGCCGCCCGGCGCTGCCGACATCCCGCGGTTCGCTTCTGACACGACCCAGCCGGTCAGATTGGGGGGAGACCGGCCTCGTTCGGTCCTGTCGGCTCTGTGAGGTCGGAGTCGGAGCAGCCCGGCGCGGTCCCGCGTCCCGTGTCGCTCGGCCCTGGCGAGTCTCGGCGCGGGAGCACTCGTCCTGACCGCCGCCGCGAGTCATCACAGCCGTCATCGCGGGCGCGTGATTCGCCGAGTGCCGCACCGGTCCGACGGCGGCGTATCACCGGCGGGCACGCACCACTGCACCCCATCACTCCCGGCGGCCGGGTCCATCCCGCGCCGCCCGCCGGCGCACTCGGCGCGGGCCAGGGACACCAGAACACCACCACTCTCCTTTCTCTCTCCGCTCCTCCCCCTCTCACTGACGTCGGTCAGCCAGCCGGCGTAAAGAGCAGACCCCGGCACGTCAGCCGCACGTCAGCGTCCATCAGCCTTTCAGCGGCGCGGGCGCGGAGATCAGCCGGCCGCCGCTGTCCGTGTCGGCTGGACCGGAGAGCTCGCTCACAGGTCAGGTCACCGGGTGACCGCTCAGAGGTCAGGTCACCGGGTGACCCGGCAGAACACGGTGACTAGCAGAGCTGAGAGCAGACTGCCGCCGAGCAGCCGCGGCGGACTGGAGGCCGTCTGCATGGCCGCCGGCGCGTCGTCTGTGGATGACACGGGTCAGAGGTCACCGTGGGATTGGTACAAGTCACTGGAATACATGTCACAGGTCACTAATGCATACACTCAGGCAGTGTTAAAAAATGCTACAGGCGAAATGCTTTGACGCAGATTTCATGTTGCTGCTTTTCCTATTTTACAAGGCAAGTGCATGCTAATATTTATCAAGTACATATATGCCAAATGTGACCCCGATAATTTGCCCTGTTCATGTCTTCAGACAGTGTGCGACCATATATGGTGCTTAACAATGTCACCAGCTCGTTTCGACTGCACCTCATGAATGCTAACGGCGCTGCAACGAGCTGCACTGGACTTGGAGCCAGGAAATTGGACGGCGATGGAATTGCACGGTTATTCTCAGTGCATACTGGAAACTGGGTAATATTTGCGTTCGATCCAGAGAAACGTTACATTGGGATAGGTAAGGAGGATTGGTAGTTCATGAACGATAATAGTATAAAATGGAAATTAAGGAGGAATATAAAGGATTAATGCAAGCCAAACGTAATCATAAAGCTAGAGCACAAGCAGGTAGCTTGAATGTTTAGCAAAGACCCGACCGGTGTTTGCTATCCATCACGAAGTATAAACAGCCTGAGCTTATAAATCGTCAGGCTGTAGTTGAGAAATCGTGTTTGACGCTGGGCACCGAGAAACCGATAAATAATCACCCGATTAACTCCACGGTGCTAGGTAGTACGTGGGCAAGAGTGTGCGTGGGCTACCTAACCACTAGAAAGATGTCATCGCTCATGCATATTACAGAAGACGGAGACTACCTACTTACATGCTGGCTGAAATAATTCATACTTGAGTTTGACCCTAATGTGACGACCCTAATGTTAACCCCTGTACCGACTTCATCAGACCTGTGGTGAGCAGTCTGTGTGGGGAATTTCCGTCGACCTGCCTCAGTGGCTGCCTACAGCACCGCACCGGTACATCAGAGGGACAGATGCTGGGCACGTGCCAAGGGGAGTCTTCTCGTTACCGGCAGACTTCAATGGATCCTTCCAAACGTCACCAGCTCACTGTTCCACAGAACAGAACTGTTCCCACCGTCCCACACTTCTACCGTCCCACAGATTCACAAAACCACAGTTCCACCGTCCAACAGAACCACAGTTCCACCGTGTGCTGTCCCGGCACCATCCCACTGACCCACCGTCCACTGTCCCACCGCCTCCACTGTCCCACACTCCAACCGTCTCAGACGTAAGTACATATACACCGTCCCACAGAACCACAGACACCCTGTCCCAGACCAGACTCCCACAGTCCCACCATCCCACAGAACCACAGTCCTATCCTCCAAAGGCCAATTATCTCACAGTCTTTCCCTTTTAATGTCCCAGCGTCCCGACACGACCCAGTAATTTGATTCGGCTGCGACATTGAGCTGCATAAATGCATGTAAACTGGTAATTTGAAATCCTCTGTCGTTTTTTTTTTAAGAAACGCAAGTTGGACAGGTGGAATAATTAAGGTGGAATATAATGGAATGATGCCATCACTCATCAGATGGAGGCAGACAGAGACATACATCCCTGCATGATGTCTGAAAGAATTTACACCTGAATCTGAATCTGATGTGATGATCTTTATGTTAACCCCGGTGATGTATCTTCGCCTTTCTTCAAACATTAAGGTTTTAGCCCTCGACAAAACATAATTACCGCGCTCCTCCTCAATGACCGCAAGCTTTCTCCACGGCATGCTGCCTACATCCCACCTGCATTTTCATTTACCTACTTCTTGCGGCCCCTGCTCAGGTCCATCAATTCAGTATTTTTCTACGAGGACAAGCGTCCAGCTAGATGCAGAAGGAAACTCCAACTGATTAACGGGGTTACTTGGAGCATATGCCAACTTGGAGCGCGGAAGGCTTAGGCGCTCAAGTGGCGGTTCGCTAAAATGTCCGGGGTGTAGGATTTCGTCGTAATTTCTGGACGATGGTAAACTGCGGGTCATTTCGGTCTGAAGCTCAGTTCTGGGCGGCGGGCAGCTGGCGACAGATGTCCCCATGGCCGGGAGCTCAATGATGAATGGCCTCGCCAGACGGCCGGCCGATAGCTAATGGGTCGCCGTGTGACGTCACGGCCCGCCCGGGGGCAGACGACCTGCCCGGTGTCGCCGGCACCATCAGCCCATAATCGCCGGATGCAGCTGAGCGGGTTAGATAAATTAATTTGCAATCAAACAAACCATTTTCTGCCCATGATAGTTACCTTACCTAATACCTATATCATTATTTTCTATATTTGCTGCTTGTTGACATGTGGACGCATGAATTGTCTATGACGTGACGCATCTTCTTTGATGTGAACGTACTGCCATGATTTGGACGTATGTATCGTCTACGTTGAAGGCGTACTGTTTATGCTATGGACTTATTGGACATATCGTTTATGACGCGGACGTGCTGTCTATGATGTGACATACCGTCTATGTTGTGGACGTACCGTCTATGTTATGGGAGTACCGTCTATATTATGAACGTACCGTCTATGATGTGGACGCGCACGGTGGCCGGGTGGCCCTCGCTGGGCCGGCACGTGTAGTTGCCGGAGTCGGAGTGTCGGGCTCGGGTGATCACCAGGTAGGAAGTGCTGCCGCGCGAGGTGCGGTCCGCCTGCAGGCTGATGCCGGCGCGCGGTCCGGCCAGCTCCAGCAGGGCGCCGTCCTTGACCCAGCTGAGGTTGACGGGCGGGTCGGCCGGCGTGTGCAGCGCGCAGTTGAGGTTGATGTTGCTGTCCAGCTGGATGTAGAGGTCGGCCGGCCCCGTGATGGTCGCGTGTGGCACTGTAAGTGGAGCGGGAGTCAGAGCACACGCCACCGATCGGACTCGGAACGGATGATCGCTCCGCGCCGGACCATCTGTCCGCGCTCGAAATGCCGCCATTTATCCTTCAACAATCAGCAAACAGTCATTCACTCACTCTCTCATTTCTGTAATTGCATTGTCAACAGTATTGGGGAGCAGAGCTTCTGGCACATAGCGTAACAATTTATTTATCGGATAAAAAATGGCCAGAAAAAGGGTCGGCTATTCGGGCCGGTCTGGGCTGAGTGATTGTGCCGGCCGGCCGGCGGCAGATTTACGGGCCCGTGTCTGCAGCCCACTATCGCGGGGTCGAGGGGCGCCTGGTGCCGATGGCACAGTGAGCGGGCCGCCCCGGGCGCCGCCCGGGAGGCCGGTTCGCAGTTGACAGAGACGGAGGCCTTTTTAACGGTCGAACGGGTCGAACTGCCGTAAATCTCACCGTCGCATGGCCAGAATGTCGCTCGCGCCGCCGGCCGCCGGCGACCAATGGCCCATTGTGCGGCATGAATGGCACCCCGAGGAGCATCTGCATCAGACGGGGGCGTGACCCGGCCGGCGCAAATCCAACCATTGTGAAATTCATGGACATCATAGTCGTTCAACCGCTGAACGGCTGGGTGGCTCCGTTTGCGTAAACGACTTCCTCTGCTCGGTGATGACGCCTCTGAGTGTTCGGACGGCCCCGTCGCGGTGACCCGGCGACCTCTGCCCGACGGCGATCATGATGCCGTGACCTTGGCCGGGTCTGATTGTGTTCTCGCCCTGCCCGGCCCCCGGGATCGGGGAGGCCCGGTTCAACTCGCTCGCTCCTTCAGCGCCGGCCGGGAGCCTCATGCACAATGCAGTGAGCAATTCGCAGATACCGGAGCCGGGCGGCGGGCACAGCGGGCGGCAGTGGCGACAGGAGAGCTCCCATCCGACTGTCACTCCGCTTCACCGACCCAAACTCGACATTCATCCCACTGCATCGATCCTGGCATGACACGACACAACGACCCTCGCGCCGATTCTCAGCCCCACCGACCCTCCATCAACTCTCACCCCCCTCTCAACCGACGCCCACACGACTCTCACCCCCCGCCCTCACTCGACTTTCAGACACACCCGGCTGGTGCTGAGCTGAGGGACAGCGTCCTGCGGCGGAGGGACAGCGTCCTGCGGCGGAGTCGAGCGGTCAGCCGCGCACGGGCGGTGGAGAGGACAGATTCATCTCCCCGTGGCGGTGGTCCGACAGCCGCGGAGGTGTCGTCTCGCCGCGGCCGACGGTGCATCCATCACGGGCTGTGGCGTCATGGTGCGGTCCCGCTGCCCCGTTAGCGACCCTCCCAGACACAGTAGCGGTGTCCCACTGCCCCGTCAGCCGCCCTTCAGCACACAGTAGCGATGCAGCTTGGAGAGGGAAGCCGAAGGCCACCATGCAACAGCTCCGGCATAGGCAGACGTCTACACCACTGCTGGAATGGGAGCAGCTATCCAATAACTCAGAGTTCAGTTCGCCAATGGAAGCCGCCACATCACAACTCCTGGAATGGAAGCCCCCATCTCACGACTCTCGGGAGGGAAGCGGCCATGCCGGACGTGCGACGAAACGCCAGATACGACCTATACCACTACATAGGGGAAAGTGGGGTAAGACGGTCAAGGTAGGTAAGACGGGCACCCCCTCTGCAGACCAAACCAATAGCGCTACGAGCGAGAAAAATTAGGACCAGAATAGCCTTTCCCACTACACACCGCCATTGAAGTCTGGTGAATTTGTGTTCGGTCAATAATCTTTTATTTTGATTTCTTTAAAACACTCATTTCATTGAAAACATTCATAATGTATTGTGCAAGCTTTTGTGTGCAGCACTATAGAGTTAAAAACTGGCAATCACTTGTGGCACACTCATATGCCTCCAGTGTTCATTCACCGCGGATTTGCTTTGTCTGCATCAAATTGTCCACAGAGAAAAATCGTGCTGAACTTCTGACATTGAGTTTGGGGTAAGACGGGCAACTATGAATCCGATGGGTCTGTAATGGTAAAAATATTTTTGTTGCTGTAGGAAAAAAGAAGCATTTCTGATAAGAATATGTTCGATTCCGATACTCACAGACATGTTAGCAATATTCCTTCGGCACAGTTTATTCTCGAATAATGAATGTGAAAAACGGCTCTACATGGCTTCTGAACTAGGGCCTATATACGAGTATACGCCTTCTGCACGAATCTCGTATACTGCCATTTCCGAAGCACTTGAGACCAACGAGCGACTGTATCAATGCGGCTAATCTCGGGCATTTGCTGCGAGCTGTGCTGGTCGGTGAAAGAAGCTGGCCGTCTTGCCCTACCCATGTGACCGTCTTACCCCATGGAGTGGGGTAAGATGGGTTTTTGCAAGGTTTTGCAAAAATAGCTGCAGTTTATTTGTTGAGTCAGGTCTAAGTCTCATCTTCTGGCAAATGGAAGTAAAATGTCTGTAAAAGGTTTTCACTCAGTTTCCCGTTTCTATGATGTTTCTAACCGGCCGAAAAATGGCTCCAAAGTTAAGGTGCCCGTCTTACCCCACTTTCCCCTACTTTCAAATTGCCAGAACTTTAAAGGAAGACTGCCACCTTCAAAAAGTTTTCTCAGATCGGCCTATGATTTATTCCCTGGATAAAACAAAATTTTAGAATTCACCTGACAAAGTATCATCACGTGAATCGCGAAAAAAATTATCGATTATCATACAATTATCAATCGGTTGATGTCTAGCGACAATGTTTACACATCACTAGACTTCAAGGTCATAAGATTATTACATTTTATTTGAAAAAGTAAGGTATTTTATGATTTACTAATATATGATTTCATAAGAAATTGGCCATGTTTAATTTTTTTTTGCATTTAACTTCGTAAAACATTTAAAAATCATGGCTCATTTGGAATGGGTCTGGCCCATGTTAAACCCCATTTCCCACACTTTTTTGGAAAAAAATGAACTACTGAATATATAAGTTTAACTTTTATTTTGACACTCCAAAATTCTTCTCTGATCTCGAAACAATCAAAGTTTTGACATATATTTGCCAAAAGATAAGAAAATTCATGTTTCAAAGTTATCGATAAACAGTAGAGATGTCGGTTTTCTTGGACTAAAAAAATGGCATCAAACTGAACTTTGGTCTCCGATTTCTCGCAAACGGGTTCGAATTTCGGAAAACCGACTTCAGTCTGGGACATAGGTGGCTCAGCTCTAGTGAAAACCGTTTTGTGAAACAAAGGTGGCAGTCTACCTTTAAGAGATTGCAAGCGAAAATCCCAGAAAGCGATAGAATCACGCAATGGATCGTGCAGATTTTCATTATCGCACAAACCGTAAAAATAACTTTGTCGAATTTGCATGTAGTTAGCCAAGTTCAATTGGACACCACTTAAGTGCATGCAAATGCGCTGCCGGTCCCCGCTCGGCCGGTTAACAGTTCCGGAGTAAAACGCCGCCGAGTTCATGGCGTGAAGGAAGTTGAGGCGCCGTTGATAACGCGAACCGGCCTTTGGGGAGCGGTAACTCCGAGACACTGCCCGCTTTGGGGGACCTGTCTGGACCGACGGAGGTGGAAACTGAGGGTCTGACGGCATGGCTAGACAGTTTGGGGCCGCCGCCGTGGTAGGGGACCGCTAGCTATCACAGTTTGTCGTGCACTCAGGTTCGATCAGCCACCCCATTTGGTCGGGTAGAGGAAATTAGTCACCACAGCTCGCTGGATAATGAGATACAACTGCCACTCTTGGTTCGGATAGGGGCAACAGCTAGCGAAGCCCTTCGGGTAGGGGTGACCAGCCACCTCAGTTGGTCGGATAGTAGCAGCCATGACTACCATAGCTCTACCATAATGATGCTCGATCCCGGTGGCCTAATGACAGTTGATCGGAGCGCTGCAGTAGCACGAGGCTCATGGAACGGAAGTTCAGCCTCCTGAGACAGGGGAACTTAAAATATCACTAATAAGATTATGCAAACGCCCGTGCACTATTTTCAGCAGAGGGTTTTAATAACACTTAAATAGTTTGAACTTCGTAAGAATCATTCATAACCTCGAGCACTTGGAATGATTATTTTAGTTAGTTCCCCAACTATCCGTTCGGTTCTTTGAAACCTGATCCGCTGCAGAAGACTGACGGTCGACTGTCGGACATCATTCAGCGCTATCGCGCCGCTAAGAGGGCGGCCTAGGTTTATCGGTGACCATGACCTTAGGGTATTGGGAGCACGGCCGTAAAACACCAACAAAACGACCCAGGCAAATCGACATGGTCGTCAAATAAAAAGGATCATCATTGACAGAAATCGCGATTCTCACGCAGCCCCAGAAGTCATAGTTATGGCCGTCGATATGGCGAGGCCAGATCCAATGCTATGTCCAGAGTTATAGCGACACGCAGCAAAAGTGGACAGACAGTTGAGAGTAAGCCAGGCATTGCAATTTTCCGGGCTGAAATAATTGAGTTTATTATTTCTTTTGTTGTTAGGCTCTTTCAAGGATAAGAGTATGAAAAATAATGGAAGGCACTGGTCTGACCGGTCCCCAGTGGGAGTGCCGCCGAATCTGATCTGAGTCCGTCCCGGGAGACAGGGCACGCCGGACAGAGCCGCCGGTCACCTCAGCTCGGCGGAGGTCTGCTCCAATTGGAGCTGGCTCACTTCACTACTGGCTACCGGGGACCGTCCAGCCGGAAGGCTGAGGGAGGCAGTGACCAAGACCGGAGATTGATTGGGCATGTCCGGATCGAAAAAAGACACCCTAGGCTTCGTATGCCTTTATCGTGCTCGGCTGACGTTTTCAGTAATTCAGCATTGCCTTATTTCAAGCATTACTATTGGCTAAGGTCCTTGGGCTTTGTCAGTTACCTACTAAATAACAAAGATATGGTCCCCTTCGTGATGCACCGAGCCCAACAATCTCATGAGCAAGGGCAAAAAAAAAAAGTTTTCAGCCTCAAATTTGTTACGACATATGGGACACAGTGCCTGATAGAATCAAAGTCCTGTCTTGCCGCCCTGCTGTCTAGAGCCCCTCTCTGCTACTGCTGCCCTTGGGGAGGGGTCTGGCAGAAGGGGTGACCTCCGACGGGGGCCGATCGGCCCGTTCTCCGACTATTGCCTGGCCGGGCCGGGCGGCGTCACCGCCAGGACCCGCCGAGATATTGCGGCGCCGCTGGGCCGCTCAGTGCCGGCCGGTCCGCTGACGGGGCAGCAGCGGCGCCCTCATCAGCCGCACACCCGGGCCACACGAGTTATCGCCGGCCGTCACCAGCCGCCGACACCGCCGGCGGGCTGCTGCGGTCAGTGGTATCAGCCATCAGAGTCGCGCAGTGGCCGGTGGGTGGGGGTCCGCACAGTCGGGAACCCGGCCCGGGGCGACGGCACAGTTTCAGGAAGTTGGTCGACCGTTCACGCCGGACGCCGGTGACGTTATGCAGTATGCAGGGGCACCGACACGGACAGGGGTCGGGCTGCATCAGTGATGGTGTCGCCGCCCGTTCGTGACCGACATGGTACTGCGACGGAGTCGTCACCGGCGGGGTCACCAGTGAGCGGGGTGTGGACCCGGCGACACTGCCGACTGGGCCCGGCATACTTCATGGCGACATGGCGCTCTTGATATATAAACGATATTTACTAACATAATGAATGGACATCTATCACGCGAGAGAGCAATCTCGTGAAATGAAACGGGCGCATTGTCGAATCGGAGAGTGGAAGGCTCTGTCAGAGACCCGGAAGTCACTTGTGGACCGTAAATGTACAGTTGCAATCCCACTTCTCAAGAAAGACGTTAACTCATATTTGAAACATAATTTTGAATACGTACCTAAAAGGAGACTAATTGCATAAGCGAATTCTTGCATGGTCCGGTCAATCATGTATGTTTATGATAAAATTGTTGTTGAAATAAGTGAATTGCCGGTTCAGTTACGGAGTTGAAAAAACAGCATGTGTTATCAAATATGAAAGCTAAATCAGCATAGATATTTTATAACTTTTGATACAAAATGCCTTAAATTGTTGGATTTTTGGTTACATCAACTAAAGCAAATATTCGAATCATCAGGCAACGAAGACTTGATATTGAAAGATACGTAAACTTTACAATCAAATCAACTATAGGACCTAACGTTATCACCGGGGGAAATCTCAGGCTCAAATCACAACCGTAAGCTGCGATAATACGGTACCTTCCTTTCATGGCGCTACACGAATTTAGTCATATCAATCTTCCAAAGTTTACGGCGTGCCAAGGGCCAGTAACTGCAGCCGTAAAGGAGAGAATTGTTGTTATAAAGCCGGTGACGGCGCCTCTGAACGAGCTGATGCTTTCTCTCCAGGGGGCCGATGTGGGATTAGGGCCGCGGGGTCGGGGTAACCGCCCCTGGTCAGACCGTTCGGTCGCCGTCAGACAGATTTGCTCCGGCTGTAGCCGAGGCGCCGTCAGCTCGCTGGATGAGCTACTGAGTGACCGACAGCACGGCCAGAGCCAACCGGCGGGAGCAGATATTGCCCCGGGGAATGACCCCAACGGCCGCCGGAGACGACACTGGCCCGCACATGTTAACTAGGCGGGGGCGGCCCCTCAGACGACCGCTTCAGTCGCGTAGTCTGCGCACTCGAGTAGTCTGCGGTGGATACGGCGAGGTGAGAGGGAGGTGCTGACGTGGATGGATTTACTGAATAATGGCTGATGCCTGATGGATTATTGTAAAGCAAGCTTAAAGATGACAGTGAAGGAGAAAAGAGAAAGTAGAGATAGATAAATAGAGAGGGAGAGAGAGAGAGAGAGGGAGAAAGAGAGGGAGAGAGAGAGAAAGAGAGAGAGAGGAGAGGAAATAAAAAGGAGAAGAGAGGAGAGGGGAGAGAGGAAAAAGGCGGAGGAGAGGGAAGGAATGTAGAAGAAAGGAAGTGAACCGAGAGGGAGAGCCTAGGAAAAGGAGGAATGGAGCCGAAACCAGGCCAAGTTTTCGATTGAAGTGAGTGGCTGCAGCCTTCTGCGAACGTCACGCGCCGCCGCTGTGCCCAGGGGCCACATCTCGGGTCCGCCACCGCTCGTCGCTGGTCAGGTGTGTGCAGAGCACGTTCCGAACTGAGAGCCAACGGGACGGAGCCCAACCGGGGAGGCGCAAAAATAGACACAAATACTCCCAAATGGTAGAACCCACCAGCTGTGTGCAGGAAAACCCGTCATGTAGCCCAGGACTCCGTACCGCACATCAGGAAGAGCATCGGACTCATTCAGGGTGGTTGGAGCCTGGGTTCGAGTTAGTGATGTCAATAACGGAAAATCGGAATACCGATACCAAACCAAATACCAACCAAAACCACGGGAAAATACCGAAACCAAACCAATTTGGGAAAATGAGGGAAATACCAACTTTTTACCGATTTCTTAGCCTCTTATACATTAGTGAGGGTTTATGATACCAACAAAATACCAAACACATTACGATTGAAATATCAAACACCAAGTTGGTATCGGTTTGGTATCGGTATACCAAAAAGTTGGTATCCGATTGACATCTCTAGTTCGAGTCGCTCCAGTGCAGTGTTTTGTAAATGAGACTTCTGGTCGGTCGGACAGTGAAGTCAGTAAGTGTCAATTATTAACAAGGTGGAAATGACCTGAGGTCGGTATCGGCGACCACGTTACAGGTCGCATGACGTCAGTGAGTTGCGTGGGCGGCACCAGTTCCAGCTGGGTAGTCGAGTTAATCGTTCGATTCTGAATGCTAAGCCTTCCGATCGAGCGGTGCAGGTCAGCGCCCACGCAATAGGCCTCAATTTGAGCTTCCCATTGCACGGTATAGGTCATGACCTACAGGACCCTACAATTAACTTCGCATGGACATAGTTAGTTGCAAAACTCAGAAGCCCCAAATATTCAGGGTCCCTGGTGCTGCAGTATCAGAGCCCTCTCATGATAATGCCACTGAGGCTCTGAAAATAAATAACGATATCCGCTTGGCTAATCTGGCGTATGAAAAGACCACACGTGAACAAACATACAGAGCAGGGGACCATCACATCCAAGAACGTTACAGAAGAAGTGGAAAAATGTTATATCGCAAATAGTAATTTTAGCTTGTGTCCCTACCTCTAGCTGACCACGCTAACATTCAGAGTTCTGTTTGACTTGCGTGTCAGTTATTAAGTTGAATTGCAATGTTGCGGATATTGCGTGCGCCGCGCAATATCTCGGCAAAGGTCACGAGCGACAGAGTTGTAATGTTTCTGCCTCATCTTTGCTTTGCTACAGGAACTAATAAACAATACATCCCTCGGACATTTGGCTCCAGAACGAGCATCCCATCCTCACGGGTCTGTGGCTCGCTGTCTCAACTGCGTGCGGACCGGAAGACGGCGCGATTTAGTGTCACACGCCACGACCTAGGGCCACAGGTCGACACGGGACCGGTAACTCACCCAGTACATTCAGAGAGACCGGCCAGGACATCTTGGGCTCCGTGTTCACCTGGCACTCGTACACCCCGGCGTCTCGGGTCAGCACGCCGGTGATCTGCAGCGAGAAGTCGTTCTTCTCCGGCTCCTGTACCACCTGGGAACAGACACAGACGCTCAGCTCACATGGGAAGTGGGCGTGCTTCACCTCCGACAGCCGGGATCAAAGTTGCACAAGTTCAGCACCACTGTGATTTACTGAGGTGGCGGTTAGTCGACCAGCTACTGCCCAAGTCCGTCCTCCCCAACAATTGACTCGGTTAGTCAGAGGGATGCGGTGGAAGGCATGGTTAGTCCCGGCACACTACATCGCAGCAAATATGATGAACATTGAATAGTGTAAAAGATCGAGCAATGCACTGATGAGTGCTGGTTTTGCATTGGGCGTTCGCCAGCTGAACTGAATCTAACTATCTATGAAATCGTCCCCAGGCTGCAACCCATTGGACGACCCATACCAGTTGATCGCTCCCTCGGCTCATCTTCTCAGATCGATGTGGAAACGTCACAGGGCCCCTCATTAGATCCCGTTTTCTGCTGCCGACCGATCAAAGGTGACATTGGAGAGTCGGCTGTCAGACTCCCAGCTCCCATTGCTGTTCCTCCAATCCGCGCTCGACGCTCTCAGGGTCGACTGGCAGCCGACCAAAGAGCGTCCGTCTGGCACGGAGCGGGTCATTGCGACGACCGTTTAGCCGCGATTGCTCCCGGCCATACGACTCGAAAAAGTGCTGAATTCGATGTCTCAGTGGCGGCACATTCTGACAAGAGTCCTATTACCACGGCTCTCGACATCGTGCAGGCATGGCGTCAGTGACACTAACGGAATTATTACAGCATTAAAAATGAGGTGGCGCCACCGTCGCTGGTGTGACATCGGAGCAGCGCTCCAGTGATATTTCCATTTTTTTTAGTATCTTGGTTTACATACTGTTAAGAGTGCTGTTCAGGACATTCCTCGGTGGTTTTGGCATGTGTTGATTCGGGGTGTTTCAACGGGAGTGATGTGACGGTGCTTGCGGGTCTTCTGCATGGCACCTACATAACCTCTCCTCCTGACTCCCCCTCATGCAACCTGCACGTGGTAGCCCTGCTTTCGCAAATGCATGTGGGGGGACCGAGCCACCGGGCGGTATATCTCGGTAAGGGAGGAGCAGCAGCCCCCGCAGAACCAGGGCGCTGGGCCCGCCGGCGTATGCGGACACGTCCCGGCCCTGTTCAACTGCTGTTCCACCTATGGGTTAAATAGGCCCGGCCTGGGTGACAGGTCCGGAGGGGTCACTCCGGCCGCCTTCGGGCGGGAATCAATCGCTGCTTCCTTGCGATCCGGTTATAACTGGCTCCTGATTGCCGTCCATGGGAGCTGGGCCAGGCGTGGGGAGTGAAGGTGGGAGGGATTTTTATCCCATGCCAAGGTACCGCCCGCCATCAAGTCTCAACCTCATTTCAGCTACTCTCTTCTTCTTTCGCGAGATGATAAAACCTGGCAGCCCCAGGTCAGTTGGGTCCTGGCCGGCAACCATCTCCCTGCCTCGTTAGGGTCGGCGAGGATAGGCGGCTGCGGCTGCTGAAAAGGAGCTTTGACCTGCGACACAAACTGAGCGCTCTGGTGGTCAAGCTGCTCTGTTTGACCTCTCGACGGATCTCACGGACAACGACCCTGCCTCGACCTCGGCCGACGAACGGACATTCCCTTGGACAACTGCTTCGATTTTGGCTTCCACTGAGTATGACTCTGCCAACGCATCTCACTCGCCGGAAACCGCTCGCGCCTTACCAAGTCTATGAGACTTCTGCAACGAAACATAATGATCGGCCACTGGAATGTCAGGGGAATCAAGACGCGCTGTTTCGAACTTGAGAAGTACTCTGAGCGTTTCGACGTCCTGCTTCTCGAGGAAACGCTGCTTAAGGCCGGCGATGACTTCTGCCTCCCTGGTTTCAGTGTTCTGCGGCGTGACGAGCGGCGCGGCACGGTGATTGCCGTCCGAAACCGCCCGGGTCTAACATACCTGCCCCTCGACTTCAGCTCCTTCTGTTCTGTTGACCGCGATGTCCAGGGGGTCACCATCTCGGACGGCCGGAGGAGCGGCAGCATCAACATAATCAACGTCTACATCTCCAAGGCAACTTCGGCGGGCGACTGGGAATTCCTGCACCACATCGAGAGCATGGGCTCCTGCATCATCTCTGGCGACTTCAATGCGCGATCTCCTGTATGGTGCTGCAGCGGCATGTACAATCCCAACGGACGCAGGCTCGAGACTGCTCTCCGGGACCTCGATCTGCAGCTGATCAGCACGCCTGTGCCCACTAGACTGGCGCAGCGACACGGCGATTCTGACACGACGATCGATCTCTGTCTGGTCTCACCCGATCTCTTGCCAGATACCACTTGGCGGCCCACATTCCTGTCTGGTAGTGACCATCTTCTGTGTGAAGTCAGGGTCGCGGTAGCGGACCTCCACCAGGCCGCTCCTCGCCGCGCACGTCTTTATCCGAAGAGCGCAACAGAGGGAGACGTATTCACTCGAATGAGGATCAGGGCAGGGAGAGCTAAGCGACGTGGCCGCCAGGAAAACCTTGAAGTCGTTAAGTGCTCGCGCCGTCCGAAATGGTGGACGGACGATGTTGAATCCCTCTGGATCAGGAAACAGAAGGCCCTTCACGACTGGCGAGTCTCCCGGCGCAGTCCCTGCGAGACGGTGCGTGACATGGCGCGAGTCAGGAGGAACCGGACCGCCGCCCTATTCAAGCGCTGTGCCAGTCGGTCCAAGGCAGAGTGTTGGGACTCCTTCATCCGACAGGCCAACCAAAACTGCACGATGTTCTGGAGATTTGTTTCCAGTATGGCGGACAGCGCGTGCTCCAATGCGAATCTGCAGATCGAACACAACGGACGGGTGCTGAAAACCGAAAACGAGAGGGGTGAAGCATTCCTACAGCGTTTCCTGCAACAGTGCACCCAGAACGACTTGACAGCCCGAACCGACCTCAGGGGAGAACTCGACGCACTAATCGAGGGAAGCGGCGCGGCACCAGTTTTTACCCTTCAAGATCTACAGGCTGCGATCAAACGAATGACTGACACGTCGTCCGGTCCGGATCTGCTGACCTCCAAGGAGTTCAAGGCTCTGAGCAACCGGGAGCTCCACGTACTTCTCGGCGAGATAAACACTAGTATCAAAACCGGCGCGATTCCGACGCACTGGACGGACAGCTTCCTGGTTCCGATTCCCAAACCAGGCAAGGACCACCGGACGCTAGCCGGTCACCGGGTCATCACTGTTCAGAATGCTGGAGGCAAACTGGTGGAGGGACTCGTCTCCCGTAGCCTTGCTGCCACCCTCGAGCCGCAGCTGCCGGGGTCCATGGGTGCTTACCGACGGGGACGCGCGACGTGACTCAACGTCGGTCAGGTCGCTCACCTGATCACAGAGGCATTCGAGGCGAAGCAGCACGTGCTCACGGTCAGTCTCGATCTGCAAGATGCGTACAACATGGTATCCGTACCCTTACTGACGCGGAACCTGCTGGACAGCGGGGTCAACCCGTACTTGGTCCGCTGGATTCTCGCAGCTTTTCAGAGCCGCCGGTGCGCCTTAAAATGTGGTCGGTGGCTCTCCGAATGGACCAACGTGATGATGGCTCTGCCGCAGGGATCCCCCCTGTCGCCCGTTTGTTTCAACGCCTATACTCTGCCAATCGCGACTATGACACTCCCGCCAAGCATGCAGCTCTTCACATTTGCCGACGACATACTATTAGTCGCGACCGGGAAGAGCTTGGACCTCCTACAGATCCGGATGCAGGAGACGCTGGACAGCCTGGACACCATCTGCCAACGGGCCAGTATGACGGTCAACCCAGCGAAGGCATCCGCCTGCGTTTTCTCTCTCAGCAAGCGGGCGCTGCCCCCCTGTCAGCTCAGATACGCCGGCCGGCCAATTCCCAGCGAGGACAGCGTAACTCATCTCGGCATCACTCTGGACAAGGGCCTCTCATTCAATACTCACGTCGAGAAGGTCGTCAGCAGCTGCACCAGGTCACTCGGCGTCTTGAAGATGGCGAAGCGTAAAGGAGTCAACCAGGCGCGACTGCTCCAGTTATACAGGTCTCTCGTACAGAGTCGCCTTCTCTACGGCGCGGAGGTCATCACGGCGACCGCGTCGGCTCTGGAGAAGCTCGATCGTGTACAGACCGCAGCGCTCCGGATCGTCACCGGCTGCACTCGTGACACCGCCCGAGCGACTCTAAGGTACATGGCGAATCTGCAGTCTGTGCCCCAGCAGGTGGAGACACTTCGAGTCAAGGCCGTCGCGAGAGCTTTAGAGAGTCATGAACATCCGCTTCACGAAGTGGCCCGCGGCCTGGTGACGCGTCCCCCGCTGCGGCGTCTGCGTAGGGCCGGATGGCTGAGGAGGGCGTCCGATACGCTGCGCGAGCTCCGCGGCAGGCACCAGTTTCGATCCCGACCGCAGTTCGAGCCTACACCTGACGGCGTCGCCGAGCTGTGGACAATTATCTCACAACACAGCCTCGGCAGGTCCTGCCGTGAGTGGCCGCCGGGCGTGGCCAACGTGGAGTTTGAGAGTCTGCTCGAGGAGCTGATGGCCGAGGGCGACGCGCTGCTGGCCACCGACGGATCAGTCATCCGGGAGCCCCTTCCCCGGAGCGGCTGGGGCTGCTTCATCCGCTCGGCTGAACTCACCCAAAGCGTATCGGGAGCTACGCGGCTCGTGCTCTCGAGCATGCGGGCTGAGATGGAGGCCGTCACTGTTGGACTGAGCGCCCTGAATCAGCTCCTACCCGACTGTCAGCACATTGTCGTCGCCACTGACTCGCAGTCTCTCTTGCGGAAATTGGAGGGCGGCGTGTCGCCCCCTGAATGGTGGACAGACAGGCGCATCACCTGGCTCTACTGCCCCGGCCACGCTGGCGTGGAGGTCAACGAGAAGGCAGACCGGCTGGCGGGCAATGGCGCGCCCGCTACCAGCAGGATCGTCCTCTCGGCTTCCGACTTCCAGCAACTACTCAAATTCAAGATGGAAACTGACGATGCCAGGAAGCCAAATCCAGGAGAAGCGGAAGTCGGGA